GGTCCACACAGGTCCAGGTGAACACGCCCCAGTGGCTTGGACGCCCACGCTCCCGGCCCCCGCGGCACCGACCCTCGCCTGCCCTTCGCCTTCATGCAGTCCGTGCACGGTTCCAGCTTGCCGGCGAGCACGATGCCTCTCTGCTAGGCAGTTTCTCTCAAAAGAGGCTCGCAAGCGTGGGCAAGGGAGCGGTGGAAGCGGTTGATGTCAACGGACTTTTCAGTCTAACCAAGAGCAAACGGGGACGCACCAGGGCCAAGCACGGCCGCCCCCAAGTCAAAATCAGAACCCCCATCAATGCTATCCAAAACACCAGCCACATTCGCAGCGTCACTCTCTGGGATAATCACAGGGAAGAAATGTTGATACGGGGTGTCATCATAGCCATCCATGAGCTGCTCGTCGGTGAGCGCACTCGTATCTCCAAGATCCATACCCGGAAAAGTACCCACACACACAAACTCGGACGCCGAGGAAGGTACTACGTCGGCAGAGCCGGCGGGCGGGACGCTCTCACTCGCAGGTACTACACTGGTGGGACCAGTGGGCGGAATACGCAACATGGACATAATGATTTGGCGGAGCCCTCCTTTTGGGAAGGGGAACGCGCGGAGCCAACGGCGGGGGCGGAATCGGGGGCAGTCACGAATGCGGGCAAAGCATCAGGGTCTACAATAGTCGCACATGGATCGTACGGCAACCGCATGGCATTTGCTGCAGACGCTTTTTCCCCTGTAGCAAAGAGCAGTCCATCTTGTAGGGTTGCACCACGTTCGTCGTAGAGGATTGGTTGCTTCAGAGAAGCAGCATGCGTTGAGAACAAGTTGAAGCTCAGGCTCTCTACAACAGACACGTCAGTGAGCTTCACACACATCGTCGTTTTCTCACCATTCTCATCCTCCTGAAAGAAACTAAGATTAATACTACCGATGGCTTGCACTTCTAGCAGTTGACCATCACCTACAACGACATACTTCCTACTGGCGGGGATTTCTTGCAGGTCATACATGTGTAGGCTGCTGTTGGCGAAACTGTTGCTGGCTCCTGAGTCAGCTACCCATCTCTCTCGACCAGGCGGCCCCTCACGAGATTCCACATTCAGCAAAGACGAAGCAGACGCAGCAGACTCTACTCCAATCGTCACTCCTATCCTACTGAAAAAATCGTCAGGGTGAGACTTGCCTAGGCGAACCGATTGTGCCGTGCAGAGGTGGAGGTAGCCCGAAGATGGAGGCGCGCCGGGAGAAGGAGTAGAGGACGAGGAGGAAGCGGTGGTGCTACTGCTCGCGGGGGGGGGCTAACGTTGCTGCTCGGATGACGAATCTTCGCCGGCAGGAGGGTAGTACACGTAGTGGATGCCGCCGTCAGATGAACGGCTGTCTTCGTACCCTGAGGGGTAGCTGTAGCTGTCCCCATCGCCGGCGTAGTGGGCGTACCCGGCGTCGTGGTAGCCGTCTTCGTAGTAGTAGCCGTCGTCGTAGTCGCCGTAGTCTTCGTAGAAGCCACCATCATCGTGGGCGTAGTCCACAACGTACGCCTGCTCTCTTCCGTGGCCAGAACGCGCGTGCCCCGGGCCTTTCCCTGCTCGTTCTCTCGGCACGCCCATCGCTGCTGTGGCGTCCCGCGGGCCCACGACCCCCCGGGTGACGCCCCAGCCGACCACCAGGCCCACATCCACGAAGAGGTCTCGGGGGGGGTGAGGCTTGGCTCCAGCCACCGCCACCCTGATCGGTGTGGTGCTGCTGCCCTTCTAGCCTCACCCATCGGCCGCCACCGCGGCCTGGCCCCTGCGGCGGTCTACCCCCTCGCTGGCTACCGCCGCCACCGCGGCTGCCGCGCCCGAGCGGCGTTCCGCGGCGCCCTCTCTCGAACGCGCGCGCCGCAGTTGCTGCTGGAGACGACACTGCTCGTTGGTGTGAAGCTCGGACTGGTGGTAGCGGCAAAATCCGCCGGGGTCGTCGTTGAACACGTCACTATTTTTCTTCTCTCCGTCACGATTTTGGCCGCCAGCTGCTGCCAGACCGCCTTCTTGACCCCCGGATGCCCCCCCACTTCTCCCGCCGCGCCGGCCCATGCCAGACGCGGCGAGAGCGAGCTTCACCTCGCGCCTCTCCCCCTTGCTCCTCTCGGGCTCCATCTCCATGTGGGCGGCACAGTCTCAAAGGTACGCAACGTCAGGACATCAGGTGCAAGCAGTATTCCTTTTTGCACGGCATACAACGAAGAGGAAAGGCCACGAGCAATGTCTTTGTTGGGGCGGTGGTGGTGGTGGTGGTGGTGGTGGTGGTGGTGGTGGTATCTGGTCCATCCTTAATTGTGCCTACAGATGCGAGACGCAGGCGAAGGGCCTCTGAGCGGGCAATGAAATCCTGTGGACTCTCGGACTCTCTCATCTCCAACTCCTTCCAGTCCTGCTCCAACCTCGACTTTTCTGACTGCTTTTTCTCCTGATAGAACTCTGTCACTATTTTCCAGCCTTTTTGAGGACTCTCACACGCCAGAATCAAGCTCTGAATCGGGGGATACAAAACCTTGCTAATTAGGATATTCCACAGTTTGAATGACTTGTCTACCACTTCATTCCCAAAAAGTCTCCGAAGGTCTCCTATATTCACACCCCTCTTTCCGACCTTGACCTCGACCTCCAGTTCCAACGCATCATGCACACCCTCCTCCTGAAAATATGAAATCATCATACTACCAAAAATATCAAACATAATATACAAATCCTGCTCATTCTTCACTCTACCATGCCAAGGTTCTATTTCTGAGCCAGGATTGACACGTAACGTGCCTGAGCGGGCAAAGCCCTGTTGTTCAGCGATGGCCTCAGCGGTCGCCTTGGCCGCTTGCGCCACGATGTGTGCGACGCTGCTGGGGTCGTTGAAGGAAGGTGTTTTACCCTGGCTGGAGGGTGATGGCTGGCTGCCGGTAGGTGGGACCGGGTTGCCGGCAGGTGGTGGGGCGTAGGTGACTTCACCCTCGTTTATCCTGTTGGCTTCGAGTTCGGCTTGCACTCGTTGCTGGACGATCTCCTCCACTTTTTGNGGACTGGGTTGCCGGCTGATGGTGGTTGGGCGTAGGTGACTTCACCCTCCTTGATCCTGTTGGCTTCAAGTTCAGCTTGTACTCGTTGCTGGACGATCTCCTCCACTTNGGTCGCCTTGGCCGCTCGCGCCACGATGTATGGGACGCTGCATGGGTCGTTGAAGGTAGCTGTTTAACCCTGGCTGGAGGGTGATGGCTGGCTGCCGATAGGTGGGACTGGGTTGCCGGCAGGTGGTGGGGCGTAGGTGACTTCACCCTCGTTTATCCTGTTGGCTTCGAGTTCGGCTTGCACTCGTTGCTGGACGATCTCCTCCACTTTTTGCTGTAGCTCTTCCACGCTAAGAGCGGAGAGGTCGATGCCCTCCATGGTTTATGCTGTTGTGGGAGTCTACCGATTGCGCGTGACTGCACAACCCCCGGAAGGCTACGCCCGCGCGCAGATACCATGATATCGGCACACTAGTGTGAAACGTAAACTACGCGGTGTGCAGCAAGCACGTTCTGGACGTTACTTTGGGGCACTGGGTAGTCGGCCGTGTTAGGCCGAGAGAGAGAGGTTGAGAGAGAGTTGGAGAGAGAGTGGGAGAAGGAAACTTGATTGGAGAGAGACGATGGTGGTGGTGGAGAGAGAGGGACGAAGAAGTGCCCAGCACGCACGCAAGCCTCATCATCGCGCCGACCACGCCCAAAGGGTCCCCGTGACTGCGCTTGTTGTACCTTTCAACACACGAAATTCCCAACACGTATCCCCCTGGGATCCTCACGACCAGGTACTGTTGCGAGAATATCTAACAATACAGACCGACACAGTTGCGCAATTCAAGGGGCAGATATGGCGCCAGGATACAACGTCGCAGAAACGCGTGGTGCATGCTGGATTTAGCGTCAAAGCGAATATTGAGTGTCACCTGTAAAGACCTTTTCCCGCGCTGTCTTGTTTGGTCTGTGCCTTTTCACTCAGGCAAATTGATGCATTCGAGGTCGCCGTTGTACAATTGTATGTCTTCTCATTATGCTCGAAGTACTTGCAGTCACATCTGAACCTTGCGTCGGGTTCGCATGACTTCGCCCCCAACTTTTTTTGTCCGACCATTGAACGGAATGCCAATCAATCAGGACTGACCATGTGGTCCCCACGCACCCACCATGTTGCCCTTTCCGCCTCCCTTTCGGGTGTACCGCCTACAACAAAGTACACCGCAATGTGTTGTTGCCTTCCCATTGAAAGCCACCCAGATCTATGCTCACAGTTCACAGTTCCTTCTAACATCCATACCGGGTCAAGTGAAGCGGACGCCTTCCGTGGGGACACAGGCCAACTAACCAAGAGGGGTACAAACCAAACCAAAGGAAACAAAAGGACCCAGAAACACGATTCATTGCGGACGAGATAAAAGAGCAAAACCTGAAAATCGATGAAGTTGGCCCCGGCCAGACAGCAGTCAGACATATCTCGGGCTTGTACAGATCTGGAGGGTGAACTGCAAGATGGCTCTTTACTCCGTTGTATGGATGACAGCAAAAACAGCGGCCACACTGAGATCTTCCGCCAGATTAAAACATAACACCACACACAATTTTACACTTTTTCTCGACAACATGAACGACAAATAAAGAAGATAACACAGTACATATATATTTTTTTTTTCTCCCATCATTGGACTCTGTCGTCTGCCCCTCTGGCCCCAATCCTCCACTTCTACCAGCTAGACGACCCAACCGGGGTCACATAGGAGGGGGGCGTTGGACCCCCTCCTGCGGTTCCTGCCTGCGATATTTTTATCGCGAGGAGGGTACAGCAATCCCTTCCCTCGCGACTTATGAAGTCGGTCAGGTTTACTAACAACGAGCTGTGAAGCGCGTCGCTTCCAACGGAGACCAGCATTGAATTAGCGAGAAAACACTCACTCTGTCGGGACTCGAACCCATGACCTGGCCCTTAGCAGGCTGTGAGGCTACCCAGTAGACCACCGGGGCGACCGGGTCATTGTATGTGCGCGAAACCGCCATGCGTTGCAATTGCAACCGCGTCACTTCACACGAAGGCGAAAGTGTGCTACTTATATTCGACATCTACAGTAGCAGCGGTGGTGGTTGCGGCAACAAGTCGCTCGACTAAAGACAACGAAAATGAATGCACAACGATCATATCTCACTAACGCATGAATCCAACCAACACCAGGTAGGAGCTTGGCAACCATGTCTGAATGAATCCATGGTGCACCTGACCGGGCTCCCATCTCTTGCGTATGCACGTATTTGTCTGACTCCACGAGACATTTACTCCGAACCTGAAGCGTTCATACTTGCCAATATTCACAATATGCCGTGACACCAGTACTCCTTTTACTCAGTGAGTATTCCAGTGAGTATTCCTCTTCCTCTCAATTCTTTAGTACTTGCAGCAACAGCAGCATTCTTCAGTCTAACTCTTGAACACAGAGCACTACTAGCTATAATCTTCCGCGTAGACATTTACGCACTTTCGCGACCAGCTCAAAATGCTAGCTCCGAGAGTCTGAGACCACACAATGGTGATTATGACGGCCAGATTATCTCAAAACTCTATCGCGTCAGTCAACCACCCACGTTGTTTGCATAAAAAGCACCACCCCTGTTGTGACCATCCCCTCCACCCGCATCAATCTGAGGCAACTTCCATCCCCAAGAGGAATGAAACTTCTCCAAACTCGGCGAGATGCGTAGATCGACTTTCGGTTCACCTTTCGTGCCCCATCGCCAGCACGAGGGGCTTGTCCCAGCGAAACCATGGCAGTTGCTGCACTGTGGACGTAGAGAGCTATGCCTTCGTTGTGCTGCACCTCTGTGCCACACCCGTGTGCTTACACCGGTGCGCACAACCCTTGTACCGCACCTTTTTGAAATACACCTTTAGTGCGCACCTCTGTGTTAAATAGATACACCTTTTTCACCCGGCACCGGCAACTCCCCCTTCGCTCTCACTTCCCTGATCTGTCAACTCCTCAAGTGCTCCGCCTGCTGGTGGTAGAGGTGCGAGGTGGGCGTGCGGCAGTACTACCAAAAAAGCACGTGGCCCGTGAACGAAACGCAACAAGGGACAACGACCACTAGCTACAGACCAGTGTTCCGCTTCAGTGCACGAGGCAGCCGTCAGCCCGTCTCTGATTCCACCGCACACAAAGGCCGGATCGACGGTCACCCTTCTCCCCTCCCCCCCGCCCACCCAGCCGGCGTTCCACATGCCAACACACACGATGCGCGATTCGCAACACAGGTAAGCCACCGGGGTTCAATGATCGACTACGCACGCTTTCATACCCCGGGACTAGCGCTGCCACAGAGTACCTCCTCCTCCAACTCTGCCACTGATGGCGTTCCGTGTCCCATTCCATCCTATCCCATCCGTTCCGCCCGCTCCGTGCCGTCCCATCCCACCCCATCCTATCCACCCCACCAGACCCATCACATACACACAACAACAGAGCAAGAGGCTAGAGACCCCGCGTGGCACGGTTCTCTCTCACTTGGACGCTTAGCTACCTTGGTGCATCCGCCGTGAGTCAGAAAATCGATCGCCCCCGTGTACCTTGTAAGAAATGACGCAGTCATATCCCCGCCTCCGGTACGGCCATTTTCCACGCTGTTGCGAGTCTGTTCCAACCCGGCCTCACAGAAATAACGACGCCGGACAAACAAGCGGTGGAATCGCCGGAGGGTAGACGCCATATTCTCTTGCCCTTGTCTACACCGGTCCCAACGGTTTCCACCCAGCGGTCTCAAGGGCCGGGCAAACTTCACCTCCTCCCCTTCCCCCCCCACGAAAATGAAAGAGACGCCAACTCATGGTCACACTTCATGCAACTCACACACACACACACACACACACACACACACACACACACACCTGTGGTATGGCTCGAACCCAGCTATGCATATCTGCACAATGTACATCCACGAACCACAAACAAGGTAAAAAACGAAACGGCGAGGAACGACCAAATCCAATTTCCGCCGCACTTCCCAGCCCCCTCGGTGCCTGGATCTTCTGCCACTGACGGGAAACGAGCTTGCCTTCCTTAGGCATTTGGCACAAACCCTTCCGGTAGCCCATCGTAAACCCCTGTACCATTTACCCTCCGCACCCTGGTCCCCTTCTTGCAAGCTAAGCACGTGCATCCACCTCCTGAGCTGCCGCAACAACTTCCAAGATACCACTTGCTTCAGATCTGTAGACGCAAGGCGTACCAAAAAAACGTAGGATGGCGAGTGGTGGACGTGAGCGAGGTAAATGGAGGGAGGGGGTAGGACAGGGAAGGCAGGGGTAGCGGTGAGAAGTGAGTTGGCCATGGTTACGCGGCACGCCTTGTCACGCAGATTGGAGGTTGGAAGACGGAGCACCCACGAGGCTGGAAGACGGAGCACCCACTCTCCGCGGGAGATCACTATGTTCCAAGAAGCATGGTCGCAGAGACCATGCATCTCTGGGCAAAAAACGCCAACATGCCCCAAACACCAAAGATCGACCGCGGAATGAAACCCGGTGCTCTTTGGAGAAGAAGAACGTAGCGACTTGCTCCGGCGCCGTCAATTTCAGGGTTTTGATAAAGGCGCGCCACCGCACGGGTCTAAGTCGCCACGCTGCACGGAACACACTGCATCCTTTCAGGGGGACCACAGTCAGAGCTCGGACTACTGGCAACAAAGAGGATTCCGGGCAACGGTATAACCCGACACCGACTGCAGTACCTCTGTTGATGCATCCACGGACGGATCTCTCGACAAATGATTGGCCAGGGTCACCCCGCCCTACGATACTAGCGCGGTCGTCGTCGCTGCTCTTGGAGAGACACGCACATCGAGCCTGGGACGAGCGCACGTCCCACCAACGAATCACGACAACGTTTCTCATGACCCGACGAACCTTACCCCTACCTTGAGCTTGTAGTTGCGCTGCGGTGCTGGCCTGGGGCTGGTGTTCCTTCCCGTCACGCCGGACGCCACCGCCGCCGCCGCCCCGCTCGCTCCCCCGGCGGCTCCGTGGTTGTTGCCGTCCAGCAGGACCCCTCCGCCGCCGACGCTCACCAACAGCTCCTTTGACGGCCTCCCCGTCGGCTCTGCGCCCGCGAACAAAGCGTTGGTTACCGCGGCCCGCGCCCGCGCGGCGTCGGTCGCGCCCCCGGCAACGGCGGCCACCGGCTTATGAGAACCGACGGAACAGAAACGGTGGAGGGTGCATGCACAGGGGTGGTGGCGGCGGGGTACTGCTATCATGACGCAGCGTATAATATGATCACGACGCCGTTAGAAGAAAGCAAAAAAAAAAAGCTCCGTGCGTCACCATGCTTCGAAGCAGGCCTCGTAACAGCCACACAATAAACATATATTCCGCGATATGACTGAGGTATTTTCATTGGTCAGCCGTCTAGCCCCGTCAATGCAAACTACCACAAACAAATGACAAACACAAAAAAATCGCCCCGAAAAACATCGGCAATCCGTCACCCGCAAAAAAACTTGAGGGATGTACCTCCCGGGTGCCGTGCTCCTGCCCCACCGGGACTCCTCGGCCTCCTCCGTCGCCTGCGCCCTTCTCCAGGTATGTGATCTTCGCCGAGATGGCTGCCGCAAGCTTCTTCTGGCGTTCCTCCTTGCTGGAAGTTTTTGAGTCACGGTCAGGGTTCGTGCCAGCTAAGGGTTAGCCGTAGCGTACCGGTCTGTCTTTGTAGAGGAGGGGTCTGTTTCGACGTGAGGGTTAGCTCCTGCTTGGCAGAGCCTGTGCCATGGCCAGGGTCAGGACAAGTCTTAGCACACGCGTGAATCTCAGCGCAAGGTTCAGCGATAGCTCAAGGGTAAAAGAAGCCCTAGCGTACAGGCTAAATTAGTCTCAGTGAAAACTCGTCTGACTGCGCCCAGATTCGAACCCGTGGACCACACCTCCGAAGATTGCCGGGATACGAACTACTGTAAAGCAACCAGCAACTTCAAGAAAGAAACGTAAATCCAAATGCTGTTGCCCAGCCCCCCCCCCCCC